GAGACTTCCCGGGGAGGTGGGGTGTCAGCCACCAGGCCTGGAGATAGAAACAAAAGTGCTCACTTAAGGCTAAGACAAATCCTTAAGTTGGGGCAGGAAGGAGGCTGAGCCCCACCCCAGAGCATGAAGGACAAAAAACCCCAAATGTTCTACCTCTTAAATTTTTTATTATGGAAAAATTCAACTATACAAAAGCTAGAATAATAGGACAGACCCTGATACAATCATATGGAGGGTCTGAGTATAAACCAGGAAAGAGGCTTGAGGCAAATGTAAGCTCCCAGTTTGTTGAGGACACTTAAAATGTGCATTGCTAGCATCCTGGGTCTCCCCCTCCAGCCCTTCGTAATGGGAAGTCCTGACTTAGAGGAGGGGCAGACCACTGGTTTTAGAGGCCAGTTGGGAAAGCAGACCTGTGGAGGTGACCAATTCCAGCCCCAAGGAGGATTTGAATCCTGGCCTAGTGACCTGTCCTGCAGGAGCTCTTTATTTGGGTGGCTTCTAGGGATACCTGAATTCCCAGAAAATTATATGGATACTCATGTTCCTAGGGAGAAGACTCCTATTCCCACCAGCTTGTAAAAAGTCTATGCGGCCATTCCTTACCCCTTTATCTCTTCACCCAGGCCAGAAAAAAAAAGTCTAAAAAACCCACTGTAATGATGCTAATAATGCTGACCCTGACCCAGTCTCTCTTCTGATGGTCACACTGTTCTTTTAAATATGGCCCATGAAATCTTTAATAATAAAAAAAATGGTCATAGGGAATTAAAAACAGGTACATACAGAATTTTCCTGCTAAAGAAATTCACTATGCATGTGGGCACTTCATACGGGAAATACTAGGCATGTTAATTTCAAAGCTCTGAGAACAAACAACTACTCTAATCGAAAGTATGTTTAGTAATAACGATACCCAAATTCATTAACAAATTGATTTGGGGAAAATGTGCTTTGCTTGACAATCCATTAACTGCATTTTTCATTTTCAGATATTTCAGAAATCATTTTGGAAATAAACACAAACATACATATTCACAGACAATGCCACTTACAGCTTTAATGTCGAATATAACCGTCATAGCTCACAAAAATAGCATAAAGTGCAAAAGCTCCATTTCAAAAGGCTTCAAATCACTCCCAAAGCAATGGAGACTAAATGCTACCACAGCCAGTGGGTACACCACCCTTATACCGTACAACTCTATAAAGTATAAAACAAGGGATATATCTGAAAATATATATGCTCTGATTACACACTGTGATTATAAAATAGTCTTCAATCTGGTTTAACAGAGAGAAAGAAACCACTCAAACAATTAGTCCTTTTTTTTTTTTTTAATCTGTAGGAGAATGTCCTTAAAATCCATTGAGAACCCCAATCTGGCCTGCCAATTCTCTTTAGCCAGCTGGAATGGTAGCACCCAGGCAAAGAGCTGGCAATGAAAGGTTCCAAGCTCATTTGGGGAAAAGGAGCTAGGAGAGGGGGGCTCGTTGGACAAGCTTCGGCCCTCCCCCATTCCCCAGAGATGGTTGCGTGTCAGCCCCCAGGGATGAAGAGCCAAGGAGACTCCATCCCATTCTCAGAGCCTCCAACATGGCGCCGGCTCACATAAGCGTGACGAACTGGTGAGAAGTTTTAAAACACCTGAGAATTCAATAAAAAGAACAAGTTACGGTATTTTTCAGAAAGTCTGTGCTTGATGACCATCAAGCTTAGATCCCCCCAACAGAACATCTTGGGTCCACAAATAACGTTTTAGGCACTCATCTGAGGGACAGGCCTAGTTTCCCCCAAAATGTAGCCTGTTACCAGAGTCAGGTATCTTTTCCCCCTACACCTTAAATATATTCACTGAAGTGCTAACAATATCATCATAATCATAAAGAGAAAAGATTTTTTTCTAAAAATCAAGATTCAATCAAGCACTGTAAAATAAGAATCACTGACTTAAACGATTGCTTGGTAACTAGGATAATAATGTTTAATATCTTAGATCCAATTCCTGCCGGTTCTCGATCTTGCAAATTCTATCTAAGCAGAATAAAACTGTGATAGGTCACGGCAGCCCCTCACTGTGACTAACTCCCAAACATCAAATCTCCATGTCCCTGCATTATTAGGGGAAAAAACAAAAAGATTCTTGATTGCACATCAATTAATAAGCTATTCACTTTTTTTAAATCTGAAAACCTGTAGAGCCCTATTTTTAACAGCGGTTTCCCGTGACCTGTCAATCCAAGAGCAGAGGCCTCTCGAAAAGTAGAATTCAGTTCATTATTTCTTAGGACCCATTCATGCCAGGCTCAATTTAAAAAGACTCAGCAGTAAGTCAGAATCCAGTGATGAGCTCTCAAGTGTACAGCTCTAACCGGTGTGTGTCCCCAAAGCTGCTCTTCATGAAAAATACACAACTGGCATTTAAAATCCATTCAAGCAATCGGATGAACTGTCCACTCTAAAAGTCAGCTACTTAAAACTCTGTGGTGGGAGGAAAGGGGGAAGATGAGAAGGAAATACACCAAATACCAAAATATTAACAATGATTGTCCTTGGACAATAGAAATGCAGACTTTTTTTCTCTTCAACTTTCCTGTAGTTTTCCAATTTTCTTTCAAGAGTGTTTAGTGCTAGAAAAGCATCATAAATATAAATGTAAATATAAGTATGATGCCATAAGACTAACTTCAAATAAGATTGTTCAACTCCTACTTTCTCAATTTACCATCTTCACACTATCAAGCTAGAGTGATTTTTGTCCAAGAGTTCTGTTTTTGTCCTCAAATAGACCTATTCCGTACTTCTTTATCAGCCCTCAGCTCATTAAAAACAATCTCTAGAAGGGCCTTCTGTTTTTTGGGGTTTTTTTGTTTTTTGGGTTTAACAGCAAAAACATCCCTTCTGACATCTGAACTAAATCATTTGTCTTGTAGAAAATGGATGGAAACAGCTCTGTGAGTTGGGGGCACTGATTTCCTTATTTCCAGCAGTCATGTTGTATCCCTATTTCCAAAGGACACTCAGAAACTTCTAGAAGAGCAAGGTCAAAGAGTTGAGAGCTGGAGGTGATGTTCCTTAGGGATCCACCCCTTTACCTGATAGGGAGACACAGTCCCTCCTTGACTGCTGGAACAATGTTCCCATCACTGAGGAACTCTCAAGACAGAAATTAAACCTCACATATAACAGAAACACTTCCCACACCCCTGCCTCTCCCCATCCACGCTTCCACACTAAGACAGCTGGGCCTGAAGTACATCAAAGCTTCCCCTTACTTTGGAGCATTTTTATACTGCAGAATGGATGAGCCCAGAATCCATGCCTGGTAAAATTAATCTGAATCGAGGACTGCTATTTCCCTTTAAAAAATTCTAGACCACAGTTTTAAAACCCTCGGATGGAACCACCTAGGTGTCAGAGGTGCGTTAGAACCCCACAAATACATAAATACCTTTCTTCAAAGTATATTTTTAAACCATAAAAAACAGGTACACTCCTTCAACACCAAATTTTTTACCATGGAAACCACAATTTAACTTGCACTTTCACTGCATGATATTAGGGAAATACATAAGTTTAACCTTCAAATAAACTTAAAACAGACAGAACATATTTCTCACATTTGGGTTCCCTCAAGATTTCTTAGTGTAAATAGGGTTCTGCTAAAAATAACTTGAAAACCACAGGAGGAGAACAATGTCATTCATTTTTAAACCCTCGGTTCATTGCTCCTTATTGGACTTTTCACCTTCGATCCTGTACAAAATTCTAATCAAAGCAAGAGTTCCCAGACATGCCACGGACTGGTACTGCCCAACTCTTCGGTCCTTGGTGACACAACTCCTGTCCTCACAAGGGCACCTCCGTCCGGCTCTTTCACAATGGAATGCTGCAAGGCAGGAGATGTCGGAGCTTCAGTGAGTATCCCTGAGGCCCTGTATTCCACCCCCCCACCGTGATGACCATTCTGGAGTCTTCATTCAGCCCAGTGAAGAGGTTAGTGGTAGCCAGTGTCATTTGAGCTGAGGAAGACCTCTGAAGGCAACAGACTTGCCCACTGCACCAGCAACCCCAAAAGCCAGCATGTAGTCCCCTCAGTCCTAGAGAGAAGCAGTCGTCAGATGCTCGGAGAAACCGCAGGAAGCACCTTGTACTGTGAGACTATGGAGTACAACTCCCGCAGGAAATACTGGACTTCCAGAATAGAAGGCTTCCCATCAGCAAAAGTTTCCAGAACTTCGTGTTGGCTCCAGATGTTGAACGAGGATCCCCACCATGACCATCCCAAGGCCTTGACCTTACAGAGCTCAGCAGTAAGGAGCAGGGGTCTATGTGCAGGGGGCTCAACCACATCTATTCTCCGTGTGTTGGAGGCCACTGGGCTGGGGGGCGGGGGCGGGCAACAACGTCGACATTTAGGAATTGTGCTCATCTTCAAGAATGGCTTAAAGTGGAGTGTAGCTTTTGGCACAGAGGGTTTTTCCGTCTGCTTCACCCTCCTCTGAAGTCCCCGTCACTCAGCAGAGGTAGTAGAGAAAGGATTCACAAGAACATGTAAAATCCGGTTACTGAGAGTCTCCGAGTGGACCAGCAGCCTCCTCAGCCACAAGCCCTGTGTGGGTTTCATTGGCTTGCTTTTATTTTACGACTGTTTTCCCAAATGAAAATCCCTGGCATCTTCCATCAGTCAGCCTGTCTTGCCTGTCACAGAGTTTGTATGTCAGCAGGAGCGTCCACTCTGAGAGCCCATGGGAATCATGGGGTCTGCAGCAAACTCCTCCTGGGAAATGAGGCTCCCCCAAAGGACTGCTCTGCCATCACAAAGGATTCAGCCCAACCAGTCACTGCATCTGAAAGGGACACTGAGAAGATCTACCTGGTGGCCCTCAGTTCTGCACTCTCCATCCTCGGGAACGGGGCAGACCCTCCTCCTCATGCACACTGGAGTCCTGGTGGGCCAAAGACAAGCTAGTCAGAGCTCAAGGGAACAGAATACTAAGAAGACAGACCCTACCCCCAACTCTACAAACCACCGGCTGTCTTTGCCGGCAAGCGAAGCCCAGTGCAGGAGGGAAAACAAGCAGAGAAGCCAGCCACGGCCTTGCCATCACGTGATCTTGACCGGTGATTTCTTGCTGGCACACAGGAGCGACACGTAGGGGACGCCGATGAAGGCCCATTTCTCGCTGGGCCAGAACTTGATGACAGGGCCCTGCTCGGGGATCTCGGAGGCAGCATCAAAGTAGGCAAAGCATACACAGCCCAAGTAGGCAGCAAGGCAGATGAGAATGTGCCTGCAAAACGACACAGGAGGTGAGCACCCAGCAGGGGCAAACGAAGATGGCCGCTTTCCGGCGAGCCTGCCCCCCGCCCCTGAAGGGAAGGACTGTACAGCGCCCCTTCCAACGAGGAAGGGGTAAGGTAACCAACAAGCCTCGGAATAGCAGAACTATAAATCTGGAGCAAACACGGCCTGTTATAGAAAGTTCTGAAATATTCCACGTGGTAACAGGAACAAACATGCAAATGCCTTTGCAGCTCAACCCTGAAGACCGAGGCCCAAGGATTTAAAAGAGGTGCTAAGAAGATGGAACCAACTGAGAACATCTGATAAGATCCGCCTTCTTCCTCCAACAGTTTTTATACATAGCTTATGGCCTTTATTACAGATCTTTTTATACTGACTAAACTGCTTTTACAGTTTAGTAGGGGAACTTTTTTACTTTACTGTGTTTGTAAAAAGTTTTAACATCAATCTTTTATCAAGCAAGGGACCATTTAAAAGCAGGTAACCCTTCCCTCTACTCTAGACTGAAATTGAATTCCAGATGAGCTAAAGATCAAAAACCTATTTTTAAAATATTTTCTTTGACTATATTATTATGAACTGTGGTGGGGGAGGCCTTTCTGATACTGAAAAGTCCAGAAATCCTATAGGAAGAGACTGACGATGGGAGAACATGACGTTGAAAACCAATAGGGCACAAAAATACCATCATATACTGAAAGACCAATGGGAAACGGGGTAGGGGGGTGAGATATTTGTACCATATGACCAAAGAGTTAAAATCCCTATATTCTGGGGCACCTGGGTGGCTCAGTTGGTTAAGCAAGCAACTCTTGATTTTGGCTCGGGTCATGATCTGAGGATCCTGAGATCCAGCCCTTTGTTGGGCTCTGCACTGAGCATGGACCCCGCTTAGCATTCTCCCTCTCCCTCTCCCTCTGCCCAACCCCCTCGCATACATGTGCTCTCTCTCAAAAAAATAAAAAAATAAAATCCCTGTATTCCAAAGAACTCTCAAAAACGAATCATTTCACAGAATGCCCTTTAAAACAATCGGGGTGGGGGCAGGCCGTGGGTAAAGACAGCATGATTGACATTGGCCTCAGGCTGATAAATACTGAAGCTGGATGTTGCCTCCATGAGGGCTCCATGTAGTATTCCCCATACTCTTGAAAATGATGCAAATTTGCATAATACATACAGTTATTGGACAGTAATGACTGGCTACTCTGTGCCAGACACCAGGTGCTAGATATAAATTTTTAAAAATAGGAACACTGCACATGGAAGACAAATGAAAAGTACCTTTCAACCGAAGAAATGTGCACAGTGAACTTACACTGGAAAAGATGCTCAACAACAATGCTAATTTTTTACAGAGACATAAAAATATTTTTAATCAGGTTAACAAGATTTAAGAGTTAATATCTAGTATATATGAAAGTATGGGTAAAAGGCATTATCTCACAGACTTTAATAAAAAGTGTGCATTAATACTTTGGAGATAGAGATCTATATATGTACCTGCATCTATAGATATATAAAATTTAAACTAAGGAAATGTTCAGGCATGTGAACAAACAACCTAATTATCTATTAATAGAGAGGTTGGCTAAATGAATTCTAAAGCATCTATAATGTGAAATATTAACTGGACACAAAAAAATGGAAGATAATATGTGTGCATTGGTAAGGAAAGTTGTCCACAATCTAGTATTCCCTATATAAGAAAAAGCAAAACAAAACACATTGTATCACATATAGAATGATGCTATGTTTTTAAAAAGTAGAATTAGAGAAATAGACATGAAAAATCTGGAAGGTGGGGTGCATGGGTGGCATAGTCAGTTAGGCGGCCAACTCTTGTTTTTGGCTCAGGTCATGATCTCAGGCTTGTGAGATCGAGCCCCACGTTGGGCTCTGCACTGAGCGTGGAGTCTGCTAAGTTTCTCTCTCCCTCTCCCTCTGCCCCTCCCCTCCCATGCTTACTCACCCGTGCTTGCTTGCGTGCATGTTCTCTCTCTAATAAATAATCTTTTTAAAAAAATCTGGAAGGAGGGGCACCTGGCTGGCTGAGTCGGTGGAGTGTGTGACTCTTGATCTCAGGGTTGAGTTCAAACACCACGTTAGGTACAGTAATTACTTAAAATTAAAAATCTTAAAATCTGGAAGGATTAACCTCAGGCTGTTAACAATTATCACTCTTTGGTGGACAGAATTATGAAAGCCCCTCTATACTTCTGTTTAAATTTGTTCTTAAAATGCCATAACTGGGACAAAAATATGGTTCAACTTTGAAAAAGCAGGAAGTATACCAAACTTAGAAGCAAATTCAAGTCTGAGCCAAAGTTATTACAATCTAATTTTTGAATTTTGCTTAAATAGCTAACGTTACCAAGATACTTGGATTGATAAAAATATGTACTTTACCTTGAATGAGGTCATATTTACACATGTGTATACATTTATCAAAACTCATCAAAGTGTACACTTAAAATCTGCATTTTATTATCTCCATTATAGCTCAAATTTACAGTGCATGAATTCACTAGTGTGAGTCGAGGTTGAAGCTAAAGAAATACCAGGAAAAGGACCCTCAGACTGGAATCTCCAGTTTGTGCTGTTTCTCTTCGTTCTGTCTTTTGCAAACAGTCCTGGGAGTCCCCGGGCCTTAAACTGAGAGCAAGTCGGGTCTCATGCTAGATCTATACAAGTTCCCATGTTCAAGGAAATGCCACACAAGTTCTTTCAAACCCTAGAGTTTTAGGCATCTCCTGAGAGAAGTCAAACTTCTTCTGAATCTTGGATCTAATAAAGTTTTTCCAGCTCCTTACCACTAGAATTCTCCCTGGGGGCTCTCAATTTACAAGGGACATTCTAAAGCAGGTTTCCCTAGATCCCTGTTCTCTTTTGCAATCAGAAGTTCTGGGGGACAGGGAAACAGGGCTCCGGGTTGGGTGCTGAAGCAGTTCACAGGAAAAAACCACTCGACTTCCTCCTCAGCGTTCGGACTGTAGGGGTCTGCACGCTGTTTAATAAACTTTTTTTTTTTTCCTTTAACCGTGTATCCTGAGCATGCCAACGCATAGCTGCTCCAGTTCGCAATGACTCAACTCCCAGGTGAGTGATCCTGAACAATGAATTCACTTCCCTGGGCATCGGTCTCTACCTGTAAAGTGAATGGGTGAGGCTGTCCCCGGTTGGCCTGTGGTGCCTTCACCTGGTCACTTGGGCATCCCAGTCCCCACATCACCTCTGTCCCAAGCTTTCCCCACCCCCACCCAACCCTGGACGATCTAGCTAGAGCTCAGGTTACGGATTCGGTTTTCAAACTCCTTTATGCTCTAGTAATGGAGCTAGAGGTGAGAGACCGCAGACTCGAGGCACACACAACAGGTCTTTTTGTTCCGGCTGAGCCTGCTCCCTGGAGCCCATGCTGCGTTTGACAATACCTTCCGTGGCTTCCGGAAGGTCTGACCGTCTCTGTGAGAAGAGAGATGCACCCAGGCCGTGCTCTGCCCTCTTGCACACCTGCCCCACCGTGCAGGGAAAAGAACAGCGGGTGCAGAACCCTGTCCGGTGGCTGGGGCTTACCACACGCAGTGCAGACCCCCGTCCGGTGGCTGGGGCTTAGCACACGCAGTGCAGACCCCCGTCCCGTGGCTGGGGCTTAGCACACACAGTGCAGACCCCCGTCCGGTGGCTGGGGCTTACCACACACAGTGCAGACCCCCGTCCGGTGGCTAGGGCTTACCACACGCAGTGCAGACCCCCATCGTGCAGACCCCCATCTGGTGGCTGGGGCTTACCACACACAGTGCAGACCCCCATCTGGTGGCTGGGGCTTACCACACGCAGTGCAGAGCCCCGTCCGGTGGCTGGGGCTTACCACACGCAGTGCAGACCCATGTCCGGTGGCTGGGGCTTACCACACACAGTGCAGACCCCCATCGTGCAGACCCCCATCTGGTGGCTGGGGCTTACCACACACAGTGCAGACCCCCATCTGGTGGCTGGGGCTCACCACACGCAGTGCAGACCCCCATCTGGTGGCTGGGGCTTACCACACACAGTGCAGGTAGGGAAAGTGGAAGGACGAAAGCAGCTCACAGAAGGCTCGGTCACTGATCCAGCAGAAGAGCGCCAGGGTCCACCAGAGGCCGGAGAAGAGGCCCAGCTTGAAGACACGCACGTTGTCACACCTGCACAGGGATCCAGAAAGCAAGTCACCCTCAGTCTGGGTTGTCACCCACCTTGCTGGCCCCTTTCTTCTGGCTCCTCACACCTCCCCACCCCAGCCCCTCGGCCCTGGAGGTCCCACCCAACAGCCTGTCACCCCACAAGCCTGTGGATATAGATACCATACGTACATACACAGATGACTCCCAAAGCTGTGTTCTCACCCAGGCCTCTCCCTGACTTGAGACTCACATATGCAGCTACCTTCTGGACGTGTCCACCCATGTGTAACACAGACCTAAATTTAACATGTCCATAATGAACTCCTGTTCTCCTACATACTCTGCCCCTCGCTGCCTCTGCTTATCAACTCCCCGCCCCGCAAGGATCCCTGAGCTCCTCAAAGAGCCCCGTCATGTTCCCCAGACCTTAGCATTGGCTGTTCCTGCCACCTGGAATGCTCTTCCTCACATAACCCCTGGTTCACCGACTCCCGAGTCTCTGCTCAAATGTCCCTCAGTAAACCCCTACCTGACCACTGTTAACAATTGCACCACAGGTCTCCACCCCCTAAGTGACGCTCCCCCCACCATTTCCTTCTTCTCTCCTCTAATTTCTCTGTAGGGATTATAACCCCTCTAGCAGCCTCCATGTTTTCCCTGTTGACAGTTGGTCTTCCCCTGGAACAGCGGGGGACACACAGAGGGCTCCCACTATGTGCTGAATGAAAGAGCTCTCACATATGCCAGGACAAAATGTTTTTCAGAAATGTTTTTCAGTTAACAGCCCAGAGAAATTTCCATTTCCATTTCCTTTCCTTGTTCCTGAATCGTTCATAAAGCGGGGAGGGGGTGACTTCCAGTCCTAGGGTGGGAAGGCCCAGAGGCAGCTGGTGGCTGAGGGTCCTTCCCGGCCCTCCCTCAGGGACTCCTTCCCTCCACAGACCACTCCCAGGTCAGTCAAGCTCTCTCTCGGGACCCAGAGTCCGACGTAACATCTGCCCCCCGAGAAGGGGCCACAGCTATTTGTTCATATTTGTTGTACAAGTGTCAGAAACCTGACTGGTTGGTACCTTTCCCAGCCGCCTGAGGAAGCATCAGCGAAACCAGGATGGGCAGTAGGTTCATAAAGGCCTACTCAAAAAAACAAATACCCTTTTGGAGGAGAGCTAAATGTATTCCTTGAAAAAAAATTTTTCAAACAATAGAGGCCCAGGACTGGAGACACTAAATTCCTACTTAGCTCTGTTGAACCTCTCACCCTCACGGAGGCTCCTCCTCTCTCTCAGCTCAGCTTTCTCTGCCTTCTCAGGTCTCAGCTTCCAGGGCGGCTTCTCAAATAGACTTTCTCTGACAGCCCCCACCCCTACTACGTCATCCGCACCGTGAGCACCAGCCATTTTCCTTCATAACACTCAACACACACTGACATTGTCTTCATTGGTGTAATTATTTGTTGAAGGTCTAATATCCGAGTAGACAGTAAGCTCGGCGAGAGTAGGAACTCTACCTGCTTTTCACCAAGTATATACAGTGTATGACCCAGAAGAGGCATGAAATAAATGCTAGCTGAATGCATAAATAAAACAAGGAAGTAAAGGAAAATGTTAATTGGATTCCAGTGATCTAAGGAAAACATTTTTTCCCAGATTTTTTTTTTTTTTTAAACAGTACCCACGTTGATTGGGTACCAAATTCTCTGAATGCATGCTAGGCACTGTGAAAGGCAAAATGAAAAGTCCTCTTGCCTTGCTATTTTAAAAGATAAAATGAAAACGGACAAACAAGTGCCAACTATAGACAATTTGGTACAAGAGAACCCATGTACACTCAATTCAAGTAAACCTAGAAACCTTGAGTTAAGGAACACCCCAGAACACAGCATGCTGGAGAGGCAGTGCCTGTGTCGAGTGACATTCTGTCTCTCTTGCCAGGGATGAGTCATGTGGGGGGAAAGCCCTGCAAAGTCAGGGTCTCAGGGTGGCCCAGTACGGTCCCTTCCTCTGTTGCTAGAGGGACAGGTCCTGCTACCTGCTGCTGACCAGGCCTATCTGCATTTGGGTCTTGCCCAAACCGGGGCTCCTTTGGGTCTTATTCCCACTTCTCAGGGCTCCTACCAAAATATCAAAGTGAGATTAAATGAAAAAAACAGATCAAAAGTGATATATACAACAGGACCCTATTATAGGATAAAAAAATCTGAGCTGATATCTGTTCTCCTTTTCTTAACCCTTTGTTGTATTCTCAAAGTTGTCCTTAACAGACTCACTCCTATAATCAGGGGAAAAAAAAAAAAAAGCACCTACTTTAAAATATATTAAATGCAGCTGAGTCACTTCATAATATGACAACACAAATTTCAGTAAATGTCCGGTCATAACCCCAAATAAAATGTTGCCACATGGTCTGAGAGAAAGTTCAGAAAGGACAATGAAAATAAAAAACTAGAAACAAGCTCTAGCAACAAGGCTAATGAGAAACAGAAAGCTTCCCTAGCTCCTTTGAGCAGAGGGAGGCTGGAGGAGAAATATTTAGCTGCTACATTACAGATTATCGCTAATGTCAGCAGGGAAGGTCCCGGAAGGAAATGCAAAGAGCAGTAAGGGCATCCCCTGTCTGGGAATTGTATCAAAGCAGGCCAACAACCATCTTCTCTTTCCTTGTTGGGACTCAGGGGGAACTGGGACACAGCAGTGAACATAGGGGCCTTGTTCCTGTCCATGGAGTCTATATCAAGAAAAGGGACAGACACTAAACAAAAAACCAGCACGAATAATTCTTTAATTACATTTGGGAGGGGTGCAGAAAGAGGTTGGAGGTGCTATGAGCAATTGAGCCAAACAGGTGAGTCAACGATGAGCCAGAAGTGAGCCAAGCAGGAGAGTCAGAGGAAGAGACAGCATGAACAAGGACCTGGGGGACAGGAAAGGTCAGAACAGCCAGAGGACAGAACGTAAGGGGGGAGGCTTCGTGCAGGACAGATCAGCAGGTGGGGGCCATGTTAGGATTTTGACCTTCATTCTAATTGCAAGGTCAGCTAAAAAAAAAGAGAGACTATTAGAGGCACACAGGGGCCATATTGAGGATATTGAACTTGATGTCAATTGTAATGTCAATAGAAAAATGAAAGTGATGAGACAGGATGTTCAGGGAAGAAAGAAGGAGCAGGCTTCTGCTTTGAGCAAATGGGTAAATCGTGCTCCCACTTGCTGGAAATACTAAGAAAACCAGAACTAGAAAAGTCAGATCAGGAATCTGGTTGAATTCAAGACAGCTGTGACAGGTGGAGTCCGAGGCTAGATGCGCCGTGGTGGAGGCAGAAGGAAGGACAGAGTCAGACACACACCTGGGAGTCATTTGCACGTGTTCAGTAACGAATGCCATGGCTGTCCGTGAGATCTTCCAGGGCCAAGTGTAGAGGGAGGAAAGCCGAAGTGAGAGGTCCCCCTTAAGGGACCCTTACATGCAAAGGTGCGTAGCAAACAAGGAGCTCACATGAGAGACTGAAGAGAAGCTGCCAAAGAGTGAGTGGAATCCCAGGCAGGTGTGGCGTCCTGGGAAGCATGGGGAAGAACGTGTCAAGGATGAGGGGTGGTGAATTGTGCAAGCAGCTGAGAGAAGAGCACTCTTACAGGAAGAACCGTCACTGGGCATACAACCCAGGCGGACTTAGGTATCGAAGTGGGGCAGAAGCTAGATGGGAGCGGGCTGAAGAAGACAGGAGAGCTGAAGGACAAAGACAACTTTTACGGACGTTGGGCTGTGGTGCCTGGCTGGCTCAATTGGTAGAGCGTGTGACTCTTGATCTCGGGATCTTGAGTTTGAGCCCCATGTTGAGCATAGAGATCACTTACATATAACAGTAAGCACTTCTAAGACGTTGGGCTATGACAATTGAGAGAAAGAAAGGTGGTGGTTGGAGACGGACCTGGACTGAGCCCAGGCTGAGAGCTAGGGAAGATGGGAGAGGCTCACGTGTTTTTACAAGCCAATGGGAAGGACGGTTTAAGGAGGGGTGAGGCCCCAGTAGACTAGTTACAGGACGGAGTAAAGTATGTATAGGAGAATGGAGGGAATGATCCATAGGCAGAAAGACAGACCCCGGCAGGAAGGAGGGATACTTCCCATGATGCTGCCATTTGTAAATGTAATGATGGAGACCCAATGAACTGCAGTGGGGGCTAGCTTTTCAGGGGCAAAGATTTTTTTTTTTTTTTTAAGATTTTATTTATTTATCTGACAGACACGGCGAGAGAGGGAACGGAAGCAGGGGGAGTAGGAGAGGGAGAAGCAGGCTTCCCGCGGAGCAGGGAGCCCGATGCGGGGCTCGATCCCAGGACCCTGGGATCACGACCCAAGCCGAAGGCAGACGCTTAACAACTGAGCCACCCAGGCACCCCAGGGGCAAAGATTTTTAAGTATGAAACAGATGATTTCCTTTGTAATCACGTACAAAGATCAAGAGTATTAGAGGAAAATGTGGGTGCCTGGGTGGCTCAGTTAAGCGTCTACCTTCGGCTCAGGTCATGATCCCAGGGTGCTGGGATCGAGTCCTGTGCTGGGCTCCCAGCTCAGCGGGGAGTCTGCTTCTCCCTCTGCCCCTCCCCCCTGCTTGTGTGCTTTCTCTCTCTTAAATAAATAAATAAAATCTTAAAATAAAAAATTAAAAAAAAGGAAAATATTTCCCTGTTTAAAGGTCACACTCTTGAAGCATAATTTATTTAAACCGCAATCTGCCCTAACCACTGTCTTCCTTCATTTGTTCTTGTTTAAATATTATGAGTTAAAAATATTTTCCCTTTCCTTAAGCTACTTCCTAACAAAATTTTCGGCTAAAACATAGCATCAAGAGTTAAAATGAACTAGATTGCAATGAATTCTCAAGAAACATAGCTAGGTCCTGAACATTCTATTCAATTCAGGCCTAATATAAGCCAGTACCCCTGGACTATTACAAATTCATTTCAGATCTCTTTATTGGCAATTTGTGTGTTTTCCGAAGAGCTTCAAAATCCTGTTAGCGTTCTGAAACCAGTCTCTTATTTTTCCACTCCTTCAAGGCTACTGAGGAAACCCAACAAGACAAGACCGGACAGCATCCTTCGTCTGCCAGCCAGTATTTTTTTTTTTAAGATTTTATTCATTTATTTATTTGTCAGAGAGAGAGAGAGAGAGAAAGAGCACAAGCAGGAGGAGTGGCAGGCAGAGGGAGAAGCAGGCTCCCCGCTGAGCAGGGAGCCCGACGCAGGACTCGATCCCAGGATCCTGGGATCATGACCTGAGCCGAAGGCAGCTGCTTAACCAACTGAGCCACCCAGGAGTCCCAAGGGTTCCCTTTTTTCAACATCTTCACCAACATTCATCATCTCTCGTCTTTTTGATAATGGACATCCTAACAGG